TAAATGCAATGTTATATAAACAATATTATATAAACACCAGTATCGTATAACAGTTTTGTTGAGGAAGAAAGTGTGGTATTGTACCAAAAGACAACTGGCTTTCTCCTTAGAATGTCAAACACCGTGTGGGTTAGTGGGATTGTTAATTTAATTAGCAAATCGTCGACTGTTCCTTCAGCCGCGTTAACCATTGTTAGAACTCTAAACTCTTCTCTTTGCACTTGTGTTTTCATCCAAACCTCCTCGTGCTCTTACGTTTTCTTACTGGAGTTCAATGGTATGAGTTTGATTTCAGTTACCAACCATGTAAAAGCTGGATTCGTGGCCCAGTGTACCACAATTCACAGATTCTTTACAATCTTAAAATATTTAGAAGTTGATCCATATGTTGTGTTATCGAAAGTCAGCTGTTCTTCAAAAAGTAGGTACGAAAACCAGTGGTTTTTATTGCAACGAGTTTGTTGAAAAATAGAACCTAATCTTCAAGAAATTACTCTAAATAAAGTTACAGGCTATGTGATCTTACGTTTAGTTGGAAAGGGAAAGTTGTTAATCCAAGTTGAATCAATAAACAGTAAAACAGCAAATATTACAAACGCATTATTTGCTTGAGGAGGGGGGTTGAATATCAGGGGGTGAGCTGGCATTTTTATAGTGGGCAAAGAAAATATAGTTTTTAATGTCTTAAAATAAAAGTTATAGGTACAGGCCTATAGAACCTATTTTCTATAGGAATTTATTTAGTATTAGTAGTATATTTCAAATTGAGGGATTAGAACCTCATTCCTTTCTCATCTTAAGTAGGCTTATGCTTTGACAAAATGGTTGCCCAAAATTAACGTCGTTCACCACGGAAATCGGTTATACCAGTGTCTAAAAATCATAGAGGCCGAGCTTATGGATTCCGTCTCCCGAGCGCCGAGTCTCCCGAGCGCCGCGTCTCTCCAGCGCCGAACGGGTTACCTGGCATAATAACCCTCCACTTAATAAGCTAATGATCATTAATTAAGAAAATATAAAAACAAATATTTGAAATATAATTTCTTGATTCCCTAGTGTACTCTATGTTATAAACCTAATTATAAATGTTTAAAACTATAACTTTATAAATAACACCCGCATACTGATTCAAATGATGGTATATTCTGTAAAATATAACATTGCTCTCATGGGACTAAAATCCAATAATGGCTACCACTGATGAAGACTCCTAACATAATTTTAGGTTGTGGAAATCACGCATATTTTTTTTAATGCACTCATATTTTGTTTTTTCTTTTTCCTAAATTAAGCAATTTCCTCTGTTTTTAAGATTTGTCACGCTAGGTCTAGTGTGTATGGGGTTTCCTTATAATAGGTTAGAGTTTCAGCGTTTGCCCGGAATCCCAAGTTCAGGAGATAACGGAAGATTCAGTGAAAGTAGCGAAGGTATGCCAAGAGGCCATTGTATTTGTGCCTCACATCTTACAGTCGCTTTCGGTGGTGGAGACGCTAAGTTTCGTAAGTTACATGATGTAGCTACGAATATTTTTTCCTTAATCTCTTTCTCGAAGGCAATATTCGAAGGCAGTTCCAATCTTGATAAAACCGATTTGAAACCCTCGAATTGTGCATGACTAAATAAATTCCCAAACTCACACTATAGGTTTTAACCGTGTTTTAACACACAGTCCCCTGATAATATAAAATATTATTGCATTTTTGTTTTGTTATTGGTATTTTTTGTCTCCCCTTCAAGTTTATTTTGGTTCAAAAATAGCAAATAGTCGATATTCTCGAACTGAAGCTAGTTCGGGTCAGGAGCCATTCAACAAAACAGGATTTAGTTTATATTTTAAAACAGTCTACGTTCTGTATCCAAAGGCAATGGTTTGTGCCTTACCAAGTACCATAGTGTTAAACATGTTAAAACAGTAGATTGGACATATACATGTTTTTTTTATTTATTGAAATAGTACACATTGGTTGGAATCATTACTATTATAACCAATTTATTACGTAAAACTGTATTGTTAAAAAATTGTCTCGAATCATATAGGCAATAGGCTACATTTTATGAATATGACCCAAACACGTAACTAGAGTATTTTTATTCATTTCTTAATTCGTTTGAACATCGAGTTTCATATGAATAAAAAAGGTTCTAAAAGGTTATTGAAAATTTAAGTTTTGAAAAATTATATTCAAATATTTTAAGTTTATGTACGTACCGTAACGTAATTTTTTAAACAATAATAACCTATACGTAGAGAAATTTATTAATAACAATATCGTTGTTTATAAAAAGAAAATTTTGACTAAACCGAGGACACATTTAAGCTAACATTTTGAAATCCTTACAAACTCATGATGAAGAAAGAAATAGGGGTCAAACATAATTTGAATCTGCTAATTTAGTAACAAAATGTATACTACTTATTATTCAATGTACGTTTTGAAATAGGAGTTCCGTTGGAAAAATAGCATAGGTCACACAATAGTAAGCTTAACGTTCAACTGATCTTGGACAAAACCCATAGCAAATGGGTTTGACCATAAAGTCTGGGTGTGTTCCTAATTGTCAATGCCAAACACTTGTCCAAGAGGGGACCTTGGCGCCTGGGGTCTACTCACGTGCTTGGAATTTCGTTTTTGACTGGACCTTGGATGACCAATGGGCAGTAGAAACGTACATCATACAAAGTAATTGCTTTTGTCCCCAGTATTAACAGATTGACGACGCTATTTTCTTCATGCGAGGGTGAAATACAGTACCTCAGTTAGTTTTTAGGATAAAATATGACCATTTTCTTAATGCGATAATAAGACCGAAAAGTCATACACTATGATATCAAGTAGTGAATAAGTTTTCTAAATCATTTGATAGAAAGTGCCGTAAAATAAAAACATTTCTTATAACGATCAACTTTTGAAACATTAACGACAGGGAAGTTTTACTAATTACATACATTTTAGACTTCCGTCAACATGCTTGACTTTGTGTTTGTTGGGGGTTAGCAATGTTGAAACCTGACCGTCGACCAGTCGATGATAGATCATGTGTTAGTAACTCTATATGTCACCGGCTTGTTTCCCTATCGTTATCCCCCTTCGGTCCAGCCCCTTTTCGTATCAATGACGTTTTTTGTCGTTCCAAACGTTCTTCCGTATTCAAATACGTCAGCGGTCGAATCCGATAACACTTATGCATAGAACAAGACCGAATAAAACGTGAACTTAGTTTTGTTCAATGGAAAGGCTTGAGAGATTTTTGCATATTTACTTAAAGTAAAAAAAAACCATGGGATAAAATACAGAATCACGAGTGTGTCTGCGAGTGGTGATGTGAATTAAAACTAGACTTGCCTTCAAAATTAACATATCAACAGCTCGCAGCCATCCTAGTGACACTGGACGTCGTATATCAAGGTAACAAGAATCACACAGTGCTCTTGTTATCGAGGGTGTTAATATCGAGGTTCCACTGTAACACATCAACTAGCGCCATGTATTTATTTATAAAATGTTTTTCTACAAGCGTTGTTTTTATACACCTAAGGTAGGGAAACCGAATAGAAACCCAAAATTATTTTTTTTAATCCTGAGCGAGAAAAGTACGGTAACTATTTCATAATACACGAGTACTGAAATCATTGATTATAGATTTTCAACAATGTTATATAAACGTAAACGCGCTGATTGTTTATGAACTTCAGTCTTATCTCGAAGAAAAGAGCATCCCCCATCATTGCAAAAGTGCATATCGGTTTATTACTTTAGGTCAATTGTTGCTGCATTCACTGATAAGCTTTGCAAGATTCACTCATTTAATTTATAGCTGTACTCGACCTTTAACAACGGATCATTGTTCAGGCTAACTAGCCTAACCCTTTGGTCACACAAAAGCGTTACACTTGAAATCGTTGAGTATGGAAACGTGAGTAATAAGTGTACAAATCATTTTTACGTTTCTAAATGTTATAAATTTCAGAAGAGTTTTTAAAAATCTATATTGGACCTGATACTGGGTAAAAAATTACATCGATTTAAGTGATGATGGATTTCAATCATGTATTTTAAATAATCCTGGATTGAGATATTTGAAAAAAAGTGTGTACAAACGTATCATAACCAACTTATTTCGTACTTCAAACGATAACCCCGTACTAGTCCATTAATATATTTTTTAGTTTCGCTCAACGAAATTTAGACCATTTAAAACCAATTAATTAGTGAAATTTCATCGCAACGAACAGATTTCAACGACATTTGATTAATTTTTGACGATTTTCAAAGTATTTGTTCATATCTAAAGAAATTGAAACATCACTTTTACAATGTTTAACTGAACCAAGGAAAGTACAAAAACGCCCATATTACTTTTGAGAAAACTCCTGTGCTCCTGTTCTAATACTGTAAATTGATTGTTATATCAAGATTTTAATGTTTACAGGCAGTAAGGCAATATCAACTCCCTCAATATCATAAATGCAAATGGCCAAATTAGCCATGATAGTAGTCATAACAATTTGAAAAATTAATGTATTCATCGGATCGTAAAATCAATTAGGCTATATCAGTAATTCTACCGAGAATGATTTTAATTTTTAACACAATCAGAGAAAAACTTGTCAGCATGCAGGGTTAGCAAAATTGAAAAAAATAGATTTGACTAAAATGTGTTTAAACGATTTCAGGTGAAATATACTACAGTTTTATTATAAATCAAACGTAATTGTATTTCAAGAGATCCTATATATAGCGTACAACAATGTAATTGATAGGAGGGAACTGGTTCTTCTCAAGTTATATCATCAAAGGATTTTGATTCACCCATAACCCGGGCGTCTCGTCAATTAATTGTTTGTAAAATAATATGCTTGAAATGAAAAAAAAATCAATTAGGCTAAATCATTTTATACCTGTGGATTTACAGGTCACTGGCCACTCTAGATTCTCCAGCAACTCTGAGAGGTTATGTTTTAGGTTAGCTCGCGGTGTAACGGTGGTTGGTCACTTACCTTGTTGTCTACTGCCCAAGGTCACATCCACGTAAACCATCAGTCAAACTACCTCCTGCGCCAGCGTGAACGTCGAGTCATAACGCAGTCGCAGAACCGTATCTAAGAGGTGTACGCATGTCAGTTGCGCGTGGGGACCGAGTGATCACTCCTTATCCTAGGCGCACCAATCATTGTTTTTTAACACAATGTACGAGTCACTACGCTACGCTAAGACAGACTGGTCTAAGTCTACTGTCTACTGTCCGCGCCAGTTCTCCCCCGTCTCCTTCTCCCCTCTCCTTCACTCTACGTCTTCCCTCTTCCTCTCTATCTTGTCATCCTCATCCGCCGCGGCCGTCCTGCCTGCCTGAGCCTGACTGTACTGTAGTTAGTTTGTAGTTGTTATCGTTGTCGGCTCTATTATCTTTTCGGTCTCAACTGAAGACGTTAAATCACCTGTTTTGATACTACGGTATCCTTAATTTGTCAAGAAAGATTGTAAATTAATTATCTCTCTTTGATAAAGCCGGATGATTCTTATGCGATTAGTTTAAATTGATTGCTAGTGTAACATATTTTATAATTGTTATTTCTAATATCTACAGTCTTGTAACTGTACAGTAAAGCTGTGGTTATATCGAAAAGTGGTTGTTAAGTTAAACCTCAGAGTTGAGATTGTTTTGGATTCAAATTGTTGTAGATAATAGTAAGAATAGTTTCTTGAGTAGTAAGCAAATTATTGTTCTTGTAGCTAACCAAAAATATTTATCCTTCGTTATATTTATGATATAGGCTAATTAAACATAAGTCGTTCTAATGTGGTCTTTATTATTTAGCCATTTCAAAGGAAAAGCGTAAACTATTCTTCTAGCCACCCTAATAGAAAGTCTTAAATTTTTGACCCTTAATATAAATCGCTCATTGAAAAAAGTAAAAGCTCAATGAACTTGAACATGGAGCTCTAAACTAGGACTAGCATTGCACTACCATAGTTCTTTGCCATACATATATTTTAAAACATATAATTGATATTAAAAGAGTACGTAATAAAATAATTATGTTTATATATAGAATTACGTATTTGTGTTCACTACTCATATAAAGAATAATCATTGTCCATTAACTCAGACTTTTTTATCTTTAACTTTTGTATGACTTTTTAACATGATTTGATAAATATGTGTCTAAATAAAAGATTTGTTAAGAAATATAAGGTAGTATTTAAATAAAAAATAATGATTATGGGCGTTTCCATATTTTCAAATATATGTTCCAATTTTTTTTATATAACCTCTGGAGGAATCAATCATTAAAAAAAAGGTTTGCTGAGTTGACATTATGACTTTAAACAAACTGAAGTATATATTTTTACTAAATATTCACTCTGTTCGTCTTTTTTTGACACTATAAACCAAAATTGTGAAAACTATACTCCCAAGTAGCAGACATTGTTGGCCCAACGTTGGAAAATGGTCGGCACGGTTGGGAAATGGTAGGTAGAAATTTTAACTCCTCGAACTTGTATTCGTTGGTCCTACAAAGGAAAGAATCGTTGGGCCTTTGTTGGATTTAAGTATACCACATTCTAAAACACATTTTAACAAATTGATTTATTTAATAAGAAAATAAATGCTATGGCAGCTGAATATAAGATGATTTTGGAGAAAATTGTATCTACAATAAATGTAGTCAGATGATGTTGTGATAGTTGTGGATACAGTGGTGGACAACCTGCTTAACATATAATAATAATATTAATAATAATAATGCAAACAAGCAAATATTTTTTTAAATTAATATTCTTTAACTTAGCAAATTTTTAATAGCTAAACTAAATGGAAAGATTAATTAAACATGTAACAATTAATTATAATAATATTACTATAATGGTAATGAATTAATCTATATTAAAATACCAGTGTCCTCTCCAACTCCCAGAAAAACAATTTAACTACTTGATGCCTAAACAGAATCTTGTATCAAAAATATTTTAAGTATTGCGACCATTGCAACTGTCTCTCCTCTTTGACCGCTTGAAAAAACGTAATATCAACAATCACAGATAGCTCAGAGGTAAGGTAAGAGGCTCATGAAGTGAAGGTATCAGGTTCAAGCCCAGCTTGGCAAAATATTTGTTTTCTAGTTTTTTTTTCAAAATTTGTTCTTATGAACTATTCAACCAATATACCAGTGCTCAACTGATAAATATGCTTTTCATTCTAAATCTTTATATTATTTTGGGCTTTTATATTTAGGCCCTATATGGGATGGTTGGTCCTATGTTAAAAATTGGTTGGTTTGCCAACCGTAAGACCTATTGCCAAAACATACTGTTGGCCAACCATGGATAGTAACGTCGGGCCAACAATTTGCCAACAGTTTTTGCCACTTGGGCTGTACAGGAAAAAGTATATTAAGTACCTATAAACGTAAAAAAAAAGTGCGGTTATCACACTATTTTACATTTATATATATTTTGTCATGAAGACAATTTGCACATTGACTTGAAACTACATACAAATGATCAACATTTGATTCTGAATCAAAAAATGTAACTTCTGAAAAAATTATGTCCGTATTTCAACACACAAGTTAGGGCCATATGGTCCTCTCTATACCTAACCTAAATACCCTTATATTTACTTACTTATTGCGGTGGCTCCACAAATCTCGTGTACCAGCCTCTTCCACCCTTTTCTGTCTTCTGCCAACTTAACCTTCTTCCTTTAACCATTGCAACAATATCTGGGTCGTTGTAGTGATAGCTCTCTATTTTTCCTTATCCTCCACATTTCTCCCTCTTGCAATGGTCCAAATCATTTTCCTAGGACTTTATTTTCAAAAACCATGAGTCGTTTTAATTTTTCTTAGAATACCCATGTTTAGCATTAGTTATTTACTTGCAGTCCTATTTGGTTTGCTTCTGTGATAAGCATTTTTGCCAAACTTGCCAAGTTTTTAACAGTTTCTGACAAAATTACAACGTCATCAGCAAAAGCCATAATATATTTAGATCTACTCCTAGGTTAACACCAAATCCAAGTTCTTTTGTTTTCTGAAGGGATTCTTCCAGTGCTAACTGCTAAGTTGATTTAAGTATGTCATATCCTTGTCTTAAACCACTACACCAGTGTTGATAGAAAACTTCTCAGATAGATCTCCTTCCACTCTCACTTTGGATTTTGAGTCTTCCAGACACATTTCTGTTAATGTAATTAATTTATCTGGCAAACAATGCTTTCTCAAACTTTTCCACAAACTGATTCTGTCGTACGCTTTTTAGAAATCTATAAATATCGCACTAGCACTCTTGTTGAACTCCCAAATTTTTTTAATTGCCTGCTTTTATTAGAAGAATCTGATATGTTGTGGGGAACCTCACATTCATAAATCCAGTTTGTTTTTCTTCAATTAGTGTTTCTACATACTTATACTTTCCGTTTTCAGAAATCAGACATCGCTTTTCCAAAAATTAGCTACCGATATGGCTTTGTCATTCGCTCGTAAAACAACATCTTATGTTCAAGACTGGTCTAGGTGTGGACAGATCAGCAGATGGCCAGGATCCTGAACAGCACCACATGCACACAGGATGTTTTCTTCGTCTGGTAAGAGACCCCATTTCTCCATGTTTGTCTTGCATTTTGGTACCTCGACCCTGATTCGATTTAGGGTCTTCCACACCGTGTAATGTAGGTCTCCACCAGGAGCCAGTTCCTCCCTGTCTGGTATGGGAGGGTTAGTCAACGTGGCCTCCCACCTTGCCCCCCGATTGCTTGAGAGTGATCCATCCAGAACTCGTGTCCGTGATAGAAAGCTCTTTCTGGACCGAAGCCGTCGCTCTGCAGGTTGGTGGCTGTGTAATGGGTGACGCTTAAATGCTTAGTCTTTTCTACGTCGGCAGCGACATCACGTAGGATTGATGGAGGGGTGATCCCTATGATAGGATAGAGTTTGTGTACTGGGGTTGGTTTCAAACACCCAGTTACAATCCGACCCATGTCATTGACTGCAATGTCAACCTTTTTTGCAGGTGACGATGCATTCCATGCTGGTGCAGCGTACTCCGCAGCCGACACACTGAGCGCTAAAGCTGAGATTCTGAGGACATTAGGGTTAGCACCCCAGCATCTGCTGGTGAGCTTCCTCTGATGATATTATTCCTCGCTGAGACTTTATCCCTTGTCGCAAGGGCGCTTTAAATGGCAGTGTGCGGTCCAGTATGACACCACCTTGTTTATTTACCTAAAACATATGGGAATGGCGATGGCAATGAATTTATCAATGAAATCTATCCACTAGTGTGACGTCATGGATCCTGCAGCATGGCCTGTTTTTTCTAGTGGGGCCTTGCACAAACTTAGGTCTTAGCAGGGTTCGGTTTGAGGTAATTTGCGTCATATAGTACTGGGAAAGTTCATTTAGAGTCGTAGTTGTTATGTATTTCTAAAGGGCTTGAGACAAGGATTTTTTATAGGATTTTGTACTAATTAATAATCCAATTCCTCTGATCCATACAATTTTGTTTGTCCCCCTTCTTATGTAGATGGATAATTGTTGTCGTTTTCCATTCAGTAGGCATCTTTTCTTTTTCCCAACTACTTGTAATTAAGTTGTGGATTTTGATTGAAAATATGCTTCCTCCACTTTTGACTACATCTGCTGTGATCCCATCTTCGCCCGGAGCTTTGTGTTACATTTTATATCTTTGATTTCCATTTTCACCTCTTCTAATGATGGTGGGTCTGTATGAGGTTGTACATAGAATGTTGTATCTTCATCAGGAATATTAACTACAGTATTCTCGCAGTTTAGCAGGACATCAAAATTGCCTTTCCATGTTCTTAGTGTTTTCTCTTATACTGTGGTAACTTTTCCTTTTTGCTTCTCCATCCATAATGCTAAATGTTCCTGCTTAAAATCCTCCTTTGAAGAATCTTATAGTTCTATAAAAGTATCTAGTATTATTGGCTATTTTATCTTCCTTTGCTTTTCTGAGTTTCGCATTTAAGTATTCTCTTTTACATCTTCTAAGCGTTTGTTTTGTAATTCTTTTTGTTTCATGATATTTTTGGCTCGGCTCTTCAATATTCTTGACCTTAGTTGATCTTCTTTCCCATTTCTGGCTTAAAGCCAAAATTTTTTTAGTTTCTTTCACTAGGTTATCATTTTCTGACAATCTTCTGTAAACCATGGATTTTTCACTTTCTTTACTCTTTTTCCACACACTTCTTTCACACTATCTTGAATCTTCTTCCATTTTGTTTCT